TTTTCAGTAAAGTATTCTACAAAAAATGATATTGGAAACTGAATTTTCATGATTTGAAAAACGAGATTTAATAGTCAGCTTAAAGGAGACTGTTTTAAACTGAACATACATAATTATATATATCACGTGCTATAAAGTATCAAAAAGCCTGAGAACTGGGTCCAGGATTACATATGGTGAAACTGCAGACTTCTGACATTAAATAAAACCTACCTTACTATTTTGTTTCTTAGTATAACAGCCGGCTCAGTAGACATCGATCAGCAGTGGTCGCAGATTTCCAGAGTTACTTGGTTACTATAAAAAAAGTATGAGAAATCTCATGATAGTTCATTAGTTAAGGGAGTCCATTTTTAACCAGTGTAACTTAGGTACGAACCTTAATCCTAGTAACCTAATTTCAGTGGCCACGTGGCATCACTAGCCAACAAACAGCAAACTTGTTAAGTCAGATTACGTATAATTGTTTAAAAAAGAAAAATACTTTAGCAGGCTGTCACAAGTTTGTTTCTTCATGATGTTGATTTATTAGTACCCAGAGGTACATAATCGTTTTTTTCGTCATTTGAATCTGGTCACAGTCTTGAACATCAATCAAACTGTCAGTAGCTTTATAAAAGATAAGTAGCGGAACAAATTTACCGTATCAAACTGCATCTATATATACATATGCTTGTCGCAATAATAATTATAGTGAAATTTCCACGGCTCCTAAATACTTCTCATAGAACGCCAATAATGAAACTTATTCACTGGTCGTGACTCAAACAGATATGACTCTGTTGTAATTCATCACAAGAAGTTACATTGAGTGAGAAATATGTCTACTGAAATAAGTGATTAGGCAGAACAGGCTACAGACTTTACCGCTGAATAACTTTCAAAATTTCAGAAATTTCCTTGCATGGTGTTAGTCGACGGATTTCTGTCTAGAAAGAATATCATTTATGCATTAGAAGATGAGAACATATTTTTGCACCAGAACGTACCTTTATAAGGGGCACATACGAATATCTAGAATTAACTACATCCAGGTTTTATGAAAACAGCTTTCCCAATCAGAGAATTTTCACGTTCCCCTATGTGCCCAGGAAAGTTATCTTGCTTACAGAACAAAAGAAACTGGCAGTATACAGGATATCACAACCCAAAAATTTGATATTCCTGAAGTAAAAGGTAAAATTTGTTGAAATAAATATGTCACGAATGCCTTGATTTTACTGCTGTAAGTAAAATGTGTTTTTGGAGCAGTCAGATTCAGTAGTTGATATTATGGGTGGGAAATTCTCAGATAAACAAACCAATAATCTGTATGCTAACGATAAGGATATCTAAAGACTTTCATTCTTAAGTGGTATGAAAGAAAATGTAGCATAACTGTAATTTCAACATAGAATAACTATAACAGGTAATAAGCCTAACAGCGAACACAGAAATTTGACAATTTGGGAAATGTGGACCGTTGGATTCTAGCACATTAATTCAGTAGTGACTGCTCCTCACGGAAGCTAAAGGTACTGGTTTCGATCCCCAGTGGGGTCGTAGGTGTTTACTGCTGAGGATTCCCACACTAGAACGAAAAAGGCGTCTACTGCTTCTAGTCCTACAATGATTTTCCTAGTGACGCCAGTCCGTGATGATTACTAAACTGAAATCAAGTTTTTCCACTTGACAAGTTTATTCCTCTTATTAGTTCAATGGACGACATTTGTAGAGATAATTCTTCTATGAGTGATGTTGCTTGAATATGTAATGCTTGAAGCGCTAAGCGGAATTTTTGTTACTCTTTATCAGTTATCCCTTTCATGTTACGTTCAGCCATTGATATACCATGGAAGAAAACATATGCATCTGCATGATATTACCTTTTGCTATTTCACTGTTTTTCACCTTTTTGATTCATGATTTGTATCGCGATTCGACAAAATAGTGTCAGTTCTACATACGTATCTGTGATCTGCATTTCATACGCATTTCCTGTCTTGAACAAGTTCCAAATTCGCTTAATTAATACCAAGTCACATTTTCATTAGAAATATTTAGGGCATGTGTATATATATGTACACTAACTAGAAAAGAATTTACCAGGTCACCTGATCCTAACTTTTAAGCAAATCGCTTCTTTCTTACCCCACATTGTGCATTGGAAAAATTGCAGTGAGAATGTTACGAGGTAAAAATGAAATCAGACAATACTTAAGTCTCTATTACTGTTGTCCAACATAATATTAGTGAGGCTTGATAAAGTGTCTATTAGAAAAGATCCAGAGTAAACATAAATGCATACTAAGTGAATACTGATATCAAAATATTAACCAAATCAGTATAATTGTTTCTATATCGTACCGTTGTTGACTGGGAACAACACCACTCACCGGGAAGCAGGTACAACCAGCTGTCGAGTCCCAATTAAGACGAAATGCGCATCCTGGATTCCACTGCTAGCCACTATCCATCATTAATATTAACTGAATCATCGGTAGGAAATGAATATCCACTCAGTTTCATTAACCACTACAGAAATCTGGTATGATTGAAATTTAGTCTGTATTCTCTTGCAAAGAAAAGAGTTTATATCACGCCACCATATATATAGGAGTCTTATAACAATTTGTACAAGAAGACTAAAGTCCACCATAGACAAGGCAGGTAGACTTATTGTCTTTTAGATATCCAAACTAACGTTACAACACAGATCTCATCACTGTATAAGCGTATACGTCACATCCCACTGTGTTTACCAGTTTACAAATTTGTAGGAATAATTGAGATATGTACTTAAGGATGATGGAACATACAACTTGATACTAACGAAAGAAGCCTGATTCGCAAACATGAATAAGTGTAAGTGGTGGAAAACCATCTTCATCCATTGCAAAACATTATTCATCAGAGTAACAGGGTTGGTATAGAGGAAGCTTTTACAACTTTAAGTAGTAAATGTTCGGATCACATGGTTAGGCCAGCTGAAGCACTAGACAAGTGCGAATTCAGGTTCTTATTTATCAAAAAAGTTTGTCATAGTGCCGAGCCTAACTTCGTAGTATTTACCAAACTACTTCTCGGTCGATGCTGTAGAAGGCCTTTGAAAATCGACAAAGTTGAGTTAGAGAGTTGACTGCCATTCTATACTCTTCTCAATGAAGATGCAAAGCGTAGCGTTGCAATTTGGTCCGTACATCATTTATTTTCCTGAAGCCAGCCAGCCTGTTCTGGTCTTAATTTTGAATGCAAAGCATTTTTTAGTCTCTCTAGCATGATGCGGCTTAATATTTTGCTTGGTGGGGATAGGAGCATCCGGTGGATGACGCTCTGATATTTAGAGTAACCAGTCCTGGGATCGATCCCTAGTGGAAACAATATCACCCAGTGGCAGGAAGGTACATCTAGCTGGTGAATCACAAACAGAATGAAACATACATTCTGGATTCCACTGGTAGCCACTATACATCATTAATTTCAGTCTGAAAATACCGGTAATACTGAGATGTTGATGCAGAAGACGATATTCTAGTAGTGGACGATCACTTCTGTACAATCAACAAAGGGATATTACAAGATTAGATTAGTGATAGTAAACTGGTATCTGCGTAATTGTATCATGGCTCTAAAAATAAAGCAGTATTAGTAGTATGGTCTCATTAAAGCTAATCAACACTACTATAAACATAAATGAATTAATGCTTGGTCTTCATTAAAATCTAAATACGCCTAAACCTTATTCTTACTGACTCTCTTCTCTTT